AGAATTGTTAACTTTAATCATTTTTTACAATCTATCTTACGACGTTTAACTTTTTTAATGCTTTCTTATGGGCTATTTACAATTGGAGTGAATGAGAATAATATTGTGTAGTAAGCAGCTGTGAGCTGTAAGAAATTGACCAATCATAATCGATTATTTTCTTCACATTCGATTTGATTTCGTACTGATAGGTGTTGTCTACAATACGTGAAGTAAGCTTGGTTTAAGAAGTAAGAGTAAGAAATTGACCAATCACAATCGAATGTGAGAAGAACAATCGACTGTGATTGGTCAATTTCTTACTCTTACTTCTTAAACCAAGCTTATTTCGCATATTGTAGACGACGCCTATGATGAACGAACATAGAAGTAGAAGTAAGCAGTAAGCAACGAGACGTAAGACCGCCATCTTTCATATGTATTGATATACTGGCAATGTTAATTGCCTACTTCGTACGTCTTACTGCTTACTGCTTACTGCTTGTTGCTTACTTCTTCTATATGCGTTCACCTTTATGACTTATAAGTTACCACATTATATTTTTCCCTTTGTAGATAGTCCTTGAGACACATCTCTTTCTTTCTTTTATTTTATTGATATGATATCTCGACATTTACAAAAATATTTATAGCATGTTACAGATACTCCTCTTCTTGAGAATATTAAAATGGACGATACTTTAGCAATTATCGAATTATTAAACAATAAAGTCAAACATGGCATGGACGTTTTAAGCGCATCCGACAAATATCTTGAAACAATGGATGAAGCCTTGCTAGACAAGGTTAGCTGAATTATTTATTTAACATCTGTATGTTTTTTACTCTAAATTATTTACTTTTACAAAAAATTTTATAATTTTTCTAAACCGGCAACTTTTTAAATTTTCAACTTTCTTTAAATATTTCTCTACTGTTATATTACATGCGAACAGGTTTCTCGAATTTGCAAATTATGCGTGATTTATGTGAGCGAAAATTCAAAGGATCCCTAAATTGACACGATCGGCCATAAATATCCGCTTTCGTCTTTCAGTTAGAAACATTGTCGATCGCTACAACCTCAGTAGAAGGCAGAACAATGCGTGTTAACAGCGGTGGGCCATTGTTTCCAAGGTTTCCATCTTGTGCGACTCCGGCTGTTCCTCTGTCAGAGGACGAGGACGAAGTCCCGTCTCGAAACGCATTGAAAAGGCAAGCGCAGTTGCTCGTCGATACCAAAAGCCGTCGTAAAGGATTCGTCTTTAGAAGATGAATTGTTTAATTCGTTCGAACGTAAAAACAAAGTCAGCTATTATAAAACTTTTTTTATCTATGTTATACAGGGTGTCTCACAATTCGTAACCGAAATTTTAATATATTTTTTACTTAAAAATAAGACAAAAATCCTAATACTAAAATGTCGAGGATATAATCTATACATCACCGAAAGTTTTCAGGAATATCTCAGAAATATTTCAACTGAAAAATGAAACATTTCATAAAAATTACGAAATATGTTTGAAACATTTCTGAGACAGTTCTGGAATAGCAAAATGTCCGCGATTCTTACACATGAAACCTCTTGTTGAAAGATTGATGTTACAGAAAGAATCTGCAATCTTTTTGAAATATTACCAAAATGTTTTCAATTATTTTTAGTACTTCAAAAATGATATTTAAATATATACTTGATTGATACTTAAATAATAGTTAAATTATATCGACATAAACATATATTTAAACATATATTTAACATATATTTAAACATATATTTAAATATCATTTCTGAAGTACTTAAAATTTATTAAGAGTTTTGTAATCTGTTTACAGTAATAGTATACTATAAATATTTATTTTACCCGCTTTAAAAATATTTTTATCGCTATCTATAAAGATTAAATTGACATATATCTGTGGCCACAACGCATGAACCACTCGTAATTTGATGCTGGTATAAGCACCAACCGCAATAACCACATTTTAATTGTTTCTAATAAAAAAATATATATAAATAGTTAAAATACGAAATATTTTGTAGATATACTGTAATGAATACTGTACTATATGCCAACGAATTGATGTGACTCAAAGTTATTTCGTTCCGTTCAGTTTCCATAAATATATTTCTCATGTGAAACCCAGCTACGAAAAAACGTAACAGAATTGTTCCGATTGATTAATCTCCACCATTTGTCTTTTCCGTTCTTTTTCCGTTCCATTATTTCTCACTTGATGAATATGGTTTATTAGCAATAATAAGGAAGTTTATTAAATTTCCATTCGATTTATTACATTAATATTAGTTGTAAAGATACACAAGCAATAAATAGAACTTCCCACGTAGCACAGCAGCGGTTATAAAACGCTAAAAAAGCGCTTCTGCGGGTGCATAACTCTAGCAGTTTTTTAGCTGATGCGCTTTAAAAGGGCTTTCAAAATCCATTATGAAAAGCGCACTATTAGCGCATACAATCAGCGCAAAATAAATGCAGTTTTATAGCACATTTACAGCACTTTTCACGTGGCACAGCAGCGCTTGCAAAGCGCTCGAAAAGCGCTGTAAAAGCGCTATAAAACTGCATTTACATACTACAAAGTTTTATTTTCAATTCACAATATTAAAAAGAATATAAGATATTTGTTAAAGTAACAAAAAATTTTAATAAGAATGCGAATACATAAAAATATATGAAAATCTATTGCAATTGGTTCTTTTTTGGCAGTAGGCGGATACCACACCACTGAAACTGTAATCTCGAATCACAAAATTATTCGATTCTATGCTCAGGTGAAACTAATTAAGCAATCGATGTATTTCCTGATGTTCTAATTTCCTGATGATTGCAATTTTATTACATTTTATTAAATATTTAAAAAATGAGATTTAAATCATACATATATTTTTATGTGTTATGCTTTATGCAAAAGTCTGTGCTCTCTGCTTTTTAAACTGCATTAGTAGAAATGGGCATTAGAAATCTAATAGTGACTTTAAAATCTCACTCATACACTGCCAGTATATTCATGTTCAGTTTGGGAACTATGTAACTACATACATTTTCTAACACTATCGATAAAATCGTATCGTCAAAAGTAGATGTGGTTCGTGTCTGTACTAAATCCTCAAGATAGAAGCGTGCCGACTATCACCGACGAGATATTATTAAAGACCGATATCCTTATGGGAGTTCGCGTTAATATTGAAGTGATTAAGAGTAAAAAAACTGATAATATTGTACTAATTTTATGATTTATTAGTTTAGTAGACGTGTTTATCGGTGTACGTGCATTTAAAATTCAATAATACTCGATTTTTCTTTAAAATTGTGATTTCAGTGTTATCGTCAAAGTTCGATTATCAACAGAGATAATAACTGCAGAGAAAAAAATTGTAATTTTTCGGCAAAATATAGGATATTATAGCTTTACAAATATGCATATTTATTTATAGATCATTTATGTAATAAAATATCATGAATTTAATAATGTATTAGTCAAATATTTATGTTAATAATAGCAAATTTATATCAATTGTCGATAATGTCAGCGTTCTTCGATTACCTCCGGGCCCTTGGGATCCTTTTTATACCGCCGAAAATTTGCCCAGGGTTGACGGTCTTTAATAGTATCTCGTCGGTCCTATCTATAGGAGTAAAGACATAGGACGGAATCCATAGTCTGGTCTTAAGGCGGAATTCATTGCTCGAGATTCGAGATAGTCTTAAGCTAGCGCATGAACCAATCAGAGAACCGTATTAGAATCTTAAGACATTGCTTGAGATTAGGATTATGGATTTCGGCCTTAATCTCAAGCAATGTCTTAAGATGCTAATACGGCTCTCTGGGCGGAATCTATAGACGGTGTTCAAGATTCGAGATGGTCTTAGGCCGGAATCAGACTACGCATTGAATATTGATAGAGTTTTTCTGGCAGAACTGGTGCGCACTCAGTACACATTAAAGCTGTCACATTAACCTAATCTGAATGTAAAAGTGATAAATTCTAAATTAATAAAATACCCAACGTATATTTTATCAAATACCACAATAAAATTTATTGAAGATTTCATGGTTTAATTTTCGTTTCTATATTTTTATTAAACGTACATCTTTACGTCGATTTGTGTACAACGGCTTTAAAGTGCACTGAGTGCGCATCAGCTCTGCCAGTGAAAACGTTATGAGATTGAAGATTGAAAGATTGAAATTTGACCAATCAAAACAATAGGAGCTAAAATTCTTTTGTCCTCATTGGTCAAATTTTAATCTTCAATCTTCAATCTCCATCTTCAATGCGTAATCTGATTCCGGCCTTAAGCATAAATCAATCAGTGCATGAACCAATCAGAGAACCGTATTAGCATCTTAAGACGTTGCTTGAGATTAAGACCGGACTATGGATTCCGTCCTCTGATTGGTTCATGCACTAGCTTAAGAACATCTCGAATCTTGAGCACCGCCTATTGCTGGATTCACACTGCATCCGATTT